ACACACATTCATTGGTCGAATATCTAGCAATGATTGGATCGGACCATAGACCAATAGTTGCTACAATAGCGGATAAGCTTTCTCGTAAGAAAGCTCAATTTAGATTCGATAAAAAATGGCTAGGGCAAGAGGTTATTATGGACACTATTGTTAAAGGTTGGGATTTGAATCATTGGGGGGGGGGCGGGGGGGGGGAAACCTTATTTGTGGACAAAATTAGGAATCGTTGTCGAGAAATATCTAAATGGAGATTTAATCTTAAACCATATGGACGGGAAAAGATTGAAGACCTGAAACGGGCTTTAGAGGAAATTCAAAACGATGGCACACAATCAGAAGAGGAAGTAATAGCGGTCTCCAAAAAGCTAAGAGAAGCATATAAAAACGAGGAATTATTCTGGCAACAAAAAAGTAGGACCAAATGGGCTTTACTTGGGGATAAAAATACAAAATTCTACCATGCAAAAGTCAAACAACGGAGAGCGAGAAATCGTATTATTGGTTTACACAATACATCAGGCACATGGTTCACTTCGGACAAAGCGATTGAACAGTTGGCAGTAAATTATTTCGATGAATTATTCACTTCAACTTCTCCATCGGAGTTCAAGAAGCATTAAGAGAGATAAAGCCTTTAATCACGGATAGTCACAATGCGATTCTAACCGCTAGGACTACAAAGGAGGAGGTATGTAATGCATTATTTATGATGAATCCGGAAAAAGCCCCATGATATGATCGTGACCAGCTCAGAGGAGGAGGAACCAGAGGTATCTGGCAGGATTACTCGTTCCAGAGCTAGAGAGATGGCTAAGGAGGCTCACGCACTCATAGCTGCATAGGACATCGATCAACTGGAGGCTGGAGCTCACATCTTCAATATCTCTATCTTGAAGAATGAAGAACCCAGTAACAATGACTAGGTAACTTAGGTGATGATTCTGTACTCTTTTCCTTGGTGAGGATTTTGGAAGGCAAGGAGGTTCTTCTCCAAGGTTTTTAACGAGGCAGAAATCATTGCTACGTCGAGTTACTTAGAAGTTGTTACTAATGGGTAATAATGTGCAAAGTCACAATGACTTGTGCACTAGTTGTTTTAGGCGCACCACTTAGGATTTAGAAGGGACGCCTCGCTGTTTTATTTTTTAATCAAACTTCGTGTTGTTTTTATTTCAGACTTCATGTAGTTTTGTATTAGGGCTGCGATTTCTCTCTAACTCTATTTAAGAGAGAAAATCGCCTAAGTATTATTCAGTGAAGAATTTTGATCAAACTTTTAACGTGTTCTTCTCTCTTTGATTTCTGAGAACTAAAAACTCTGAAATTCGAATCTCTTAAAACTAATCTGTTTACAAGAGATTCTTCTATCCTTCATCATCATCAATTCGATTATCACACTACCACCACACTATCAATCGATCTTCGCACCATCACAAATCATTGATCCGACCGCTGCAACCACCTTCACCATCCCATCGAGTCACGCAACCAGCCACCATCACCACTCCATCGCATCATCGCTGCATCCCATCCACCACATCGCCACATCTATTGCCTCTTGCTTCAGAGTTGATCACCTAGGATCGTATCACGTGGTATCAGAGATGCCACATCTATTGCCTTTTTTTTTTTTTTTTTTTTTTAAAAAAATTTTTCAGGTACCATGGAGCTTTCGGCTGAGGCAATGGAAGCTCTGAACCGAGCAATGTCTCAACAAATTAAAGAAGCGAATCAAGCCATAGCAACTCAGGTCACCCAACAAATCGAACAACTCAACGACAAGTTCGAGACCAAGATGAGTGATCTGCTCAAAGATCTCAGTGCAAGTGGAGAAGAGTCGTCTCAAACTCCAACTCCGTCAGAAGCAATGCGCTTAGCTAAGGGTAAAGGGCATATAGGATCTTCCCGGAAACTTCCACGCCACCCAACACCTTCCGAAGCCAGGACTAAAGCTAAGTCCAGTCGAAGCCAGATTGGGGGCAGAGAGACTACGTTTAATCCAAGGAGGAACCCTACTGGTGCAGATCGAGATGGCCCAAGGGTACATCGTCAGCACCGCAGAGAGGAATATATTGCTGGGCATCGAGTTACCCTGGAATCAGACCCAGAATACTATGAGGAGGACGAAGCTTCTGATCATAGCAGAGAAACTGTGAGACGAGATCGAGGCCGAGGACATGGTCGAGATTATGATCCTCTACGACAGCAGCTGCGTCATATCAAAATCCAGTATCCTCCTTTCCATGGAACTAATGATCCCGAAGCTTATCTAGATTGGGAAAGGAAGATGGAGTCTAATTTTCTGGTCCAAGGAACTTACGAGCTCAACAAGGTGAAGATTGCAGTTTCAGAATTTCATGGGTATGCGCTTCTATGGTGGGAGCAGTTGGGAGTCACCAGAAATCGCCTGAGAGAACTTCCGATTACTACTTGGGATCAGCTTGTTATACAGATGAGGAAGAGATTCGTTCCAGCACATCATCAGCGCGAAATACTCAACAAGCTCAGGCGCCTCGTCCAAGGTACGAAGTCTGTTCGAGATTACTATCAGGAATTGGAAACTTTGCTTATTCGTGCAGATTTACGAGAAGGAGATGAGATGGTAATGTCGAGATTTCTTGGAGGACTTAACCGAGAAATTCAGGACAAGGTGGAACTTCAGGATTTCACAGATATACAAGAGATGGTGCATAAGGCTGAATTGGTGGAATCTCAAGTCAAGAGGCGAAATTTCAAGTCCACATTCACGCCTAGTGTGCCTAAGCCTAAGGAGATCAGCAAACCAGCTTATTCCAGAGACATCAAATCACCCTCTACTGGACTTAAAGAAGAAGCTAAAGCTGAGCTCAAACCAAGAAGTGGTACTTCTATCAGCAATGTGAGGTGTTTCAAATGTCAAGGAATGGGACATTACTCTCGAGATTGCCCAAACAAGAAGGTTTTCTTGTTACATGAGGGAGGAGAGATAGTTCCTCAAGAGGATTCAGAGGCCGAATATGAATTAGAGGAAGAGGAAGAAGCTGCTGCTGTGGGCGAGATGCTGGTTGCCAGAAGGACTTTGAGTGTTCAGAGTCAACCTGAAGAGACTTGTCAGCGAGAGAACCTGTTTCATACGAGATGCTTCATTCAAGGAAAAGTTTGCAGCCTGATCATAAATGGAGGAAGTTGTACTAATGCTGCAAGCGAAGAGATAGTTAAGAAGCTCCAGCTCAAGACTATTCCTCATCCAAGGCCGTATAAGCTTCAGTGGTTGAATGCAGTGGAGCCTTGACCGTATCTCAGCAAGTGATGGTTTCTCTATCCATTGGGAAGTATGAAGATGAGATTCTATGTGACGTCCCCATGGGTTCGAGTCATGTGTTGCTAGGCAGACCGTGGCAATCAGATCGTAGGGTGATACACGACGGTTACACCAACAAGCACTCATTCGAGTTCAAAGGTCGCAAAATTACCCTCCTACCTCTCACGCCTACCGAGATTTATCAAGATCAAATTCAAATGAAGCTCAAGGAGAAGGAGAAAGTCGCCAACAGCCTCTACATAAACCACAGTGAATTTTCTAAACTCTTTGATCCTGAAATGACTACTTTTATGTTTGTGTACAAGGAATCCCTTGTTAGTACTAACCCTTCACAGGAGCTTCCTAGTGCTATGTTTGAGATTTTGCAGGAATACAAGGACGTTTTTTCAGTAGAAATTCCACCAGGGCTACCTCCAATTCGCGGGATAGAGCATCAGATTGACTTGGTACCAGGATCAGCCTTACCTAACAGGCCAGCATACCGAACCAACCCTGTAGAGACTAAGGAGCTGCAGAAGCAAGTGGAAGAGCTGATGAGCGAAAGAACAAGCTAATGCCCAGAGTTGATGGACCATTCGCAGTCATCAAAAGAATCAACAACAACGCCTATCAGATTGATCTTCAAGGTAAGTATGATGTTTCTGATGCTTTCAATGTTTCTGACTTGCTTCCTTATGTTGCAGATTCAGATTTGAGGACAAATCCTTTTCAAGAGGGAGAGGATGATATGATCGTGACCAGCTCAGAGGAGGAGGAACTAGAGGTATCTGGCAGGATTACTCGTTCCAGAGCTAGAGAGATGGCTAAGGAGGCTCACGCACTCATAGCTGCAGAGGACATCGATCAACTGGAGGCTAGAGCTCACATCTTCAATATCTCTATCTTGAAAAATGAAGAACCCAGTAACAATGACTAGGTAACTTAGGTGATGATTCTGTACTCTTTTCCTTGGTGAGGATTTTGGAAGGCAAGGAGGTTCTTCTCCAAGGTTTTTAACGAGGCAGAAATCATTGCTACGTCGAGTTACTTAGAAGTTGTTACTAATGGGTAATAATGTGCAAAGTCACAATGACTTGTGCACTAGTTGTTTTAGGCGCACCACTTAGGATTTAGAAGGGACGCCTCGCTGTTTTATTTTTTAATCAAACTTCGTGTTGTTTTTATTTCAGACTTCATGTAGTTTTGTATTAGGGCTGCGATTTCTCTCTAACTCTATTTAAGAGAGAAAATCGCCTAAGTATTATTCAGTGAAGAATTTTGATCAAACTTTTAACGTGTTCTTCTCTCTTTGATTTCTGAGAACTAAAAACTCTGAAATTCGAATCTCTTAAAACTAATCTGTTTACAAGAGATTCTTCTATCCTTCATCATCATCAATTCGATTATCACACTACCACCACACTATCAATCGATCTTCGCACCATCAAAAATCATTGATCCGACCGCTGCAACAACCTTCACCATCCCATCGAGTCACGCAACCAGCCACCATCACCACTCCATCGCATCATCGCTGCATCCAATCCACCACATCGCCACATCTATTGCCTCTTGCTTCAGAGTTGATCACCTAGGATCGTATCACCCCAGGACCAGACGGAATGACTGCACTTTTTTACCAACGTTCATGGTCGTTCATTAAAACGGATATTGTGAACTTAGTCTGACAAGAGGTTAAATATGACAAATATTTGTCTAATTCCAAAAACGGAAAGACCCACGAAGATGACAGAATTACGGCCTATTAGTTTATGCAACGCCGTCTATAAGATCATTTCTAAACTACTCTGTCAGAGACTGAAACATCAATTACCTGGCTTGATCTCGGAAACCCAATCGGGCTTTGTGGTCGGGCGGTTGATTTCAGATAATATTCTCATTCCTCAAGAGATGTTCCATGGATTACGGACAAATCCATCGTGCAAAAATAGATACATAGCAATTAAAACGGATATGAGTAAAGCTTATGATAGAGTTGAATGGTCTTTCACTGAACACTTATTACGGAGATTTGGTTTTACAGAGAGATGGATAACATGGATGATGCGGTGCATTACATCTGTAAGATACAAAGTTCTTTTAAATGGACAGCCTCGGGGGCACATAACTCCAGGGAGGGGACTCCATCGAGGAGATCCGCTTTCACCATATTTGTTTATCCTATGTACGGAAGTTTTAATTGCCAACATAAGGAAAGCTGAGGATGAGAAGTTGTTAACGGGGTTTAAGATAGCAAGAGCGAGCCCATCAATATCACATCTACTTTTTGCGGATGATAGTTTATTCTTTTGCAAAGCAAACAAGGAAAAATGCCACAAGATACTAAGCATTCTCAGACAGTATGAGGGAGTTTCACGCCAACAAATCAATTTTGAGAAATCATCAGTTCAATTCGGACATATGGTTCCGGAGGAAATACAACAGGAATTGAAACAAATTCTGGGAATTACAAAAGACGGAGGCACAGGGACATATCTTGGCATTCCAGAGAGTATGGGGGGAGCCAAGACCAAGATCTTTAATTTTGTTGTAGACAGACAACAAGATAGAGTTAATAGTTGGACATTGAGGTTATTATCAAAAAGGGAAAAAGAAGTTCTAATCAAATCGGTGGCGTCTGTAATGCTAACCTTTGTTATGTCATGCTTTCGGTTGCCCAAGTCAACAACAGCAAAACTTACAAGTGCAGCAGCACGGTTGATATGATCGTGACCAGCTCAAAGGAGGAGGAACCAGAGGTAGCTGGCAGGATCACTCGTTCCAGAGCTAGAGAGATGGCTAAGGAGGCTCACGCACTCATGGCCGTAGAGGACATCGATCAACTGGAGGCTGGAGCTCACATCTTCAACATCTCTATCTTGAAGAATGAAGAACCCAGTAACAATGACTAGGTAACTTAGGTGATGATTCTGTACTCTTTTCCTTGGTGAGGATTTTGGAAGGCAAGGAGGTTCTTCTCCAAGGTTTTTAACGAGGCAGAAATCATTGCTACGTCGAGTTACTTAGAAGTTGTTACTAATGGGTAATAATGTGCAAAGTCACAATGACTTGTGCACTAGTATTTTGGCGCACCACTTAGGAATTTTAGGGACGCCTTGCTGTTTATTTTTAAACCAAACTTCTTGTTGTTTTATTTCAAACTTCATGTAGTTTTGTTATTAGGGCTGCGATTTTCTCTCTTAGTCTATAAAACAGAGAAAATCGCCTAAGTGTTATTCAGTGAAGAATTTTTAGCCAACTTTTAACAGGTTCTTCTCTCTTTGATTTCTGAGAACTAAAAACTCTGAAATTCGAATCTCTTAAAACTAATCTGTTTACAAGAGATTCTACTATCTCTCCATTCCATCGATATCATCATCATCATCGCACCTATTCGATCATCACACCACGTCCACCCTCTCATCTCACTCGATCCGCCGAACCACCATCACCATATTCGACTCGATCCTCAAGCCATTGCCACCATCGAACCGATCATCACCACCCCATCTCCTCATCGCTATAGTCTGTCCACAAAATCGCAGCATCAGTTGCCTTTTCTTCAGAGTTGATCACCTAGGATCGTATCAACGGTACTGGTGGAGCTCTGATGGACAACAACAAGGTATGCATTGGTTTGCATGGAAAAAGATGTGTAGAGATAAGGTGGAGGGGGGAATGGGATTTTGTGATGTGGAAAATTTTAATACAGCTTTATTGGCAAAACAATTATGGTGTTTGATAGATAGACCTAATTCACTTTTTGCGCGAGTATTTCAGGGACGATACTTTCAGAAAACAAGTCCTTTAGATCCGGTACGTTCATATTCCCCACCCTATGGATGGCGGAGCATAATATCAGCTAGATCTCTAGTTAATAAAGGGCTAATTAAAAGAGTCGGTTTGGGTTGCTCTATCTCTGTATGGAAGATCCGTGGATACCGTCTTCTCGTCCGAGATCAGCAACTTGTAAGGGTTTTAACTATTACCCGAATCTCATGGTTAATCAGTTGATTGACCCACAAACAAATACATGGAATATGAGATTGATAACGGCCATTATTGATCCAATGGATGTCGAGATTATTCGTGGAATTCTCATTAGTAAATCTTACAGGCCAGATTCATGGGGATGTCATTTCACAAAACCTGGGAAGTTTACGGTTAAATCGGGGTACAAAACTGATATCAACTACCAGAGGAAACACTAGAGGTTGTATATGGGCCAGATATAACAGCATTACATGCTCACACTTGGACTCTAAAATGCCCTCCAAAATTATAACATTTTATATGGCAAGCAATATCCAGATGTCTCTCGGTGGCATCTAGGTTACAATCCCGAGGAATACAATACGATACAAAATGTCCACGGTGTGGAAATGAGGAAGAAGCAATCAATCATGTTCTGTTTGAATGTCCTCCGGATCTCCAAATTTGGGCTTTATCCTGGATCCCAACACCCTCTCGTGTTTTCCCTATGACATCGGCTTACGCAAATTTTGATCATCTTTTTTGGAGATTACCAAAAGATTTGGAAAATACCCAATTTCCATGGATTGCATGGTATAGTTGGAAGGCACATAATGAGAAGCTGTTTTCGAATATCGATGTAGACCCATAAACTACATTAAAGATAGCGGAGACAGAAGCGGCTTTATGGGAAGAAGCTCAAAATTCAGAACAAGAATTTATACTAAGTAATACTGCCAATCCATCGCTTCACCCAATGTCACTCACATACGAAAGCTGGTGGTGTTATATTGATAGCTCTTGGAAAGAAACGGATACAACAACAGGATTATGGTGGTACTATTTTAACGAAGGTGCTATTGATAAAATTGTGGGTGCAAAAAATATACGGAGGAGTCTTACATCACTACATGCAGAGGTGGAAGCTCTTATTTGGACCATGCACTGCATGATAGAAAATCACAAGACCTAAGTAGCTTTTGCAACAGACTGTTCCGAATTGGTGAAGATAGTATCTATCCCCGACGAATGGCCAGCTTTTGCTCTACACCTGGAAAAAATTGGGAAGATAAAGGAGAAATTCATTTGAGTATCGCATATCTTACGTGCAGAGAATTCGAAGACAGATAAACTAATAAGAAATGCTCGTATCTATCCTCACAACGTTATTTATGTAAACTTGGTATCTCCAGTTTGGTTAGCTAAACCATTCTAGATACTTAGACTGTCGATAAAAAAAATTGATATTATTTCTTTGAATTTCTAACCGTTTTAAATATTTAATCTGTTGGTAAAAAAAATACTACAAAATAATAAAAACCGTGTTCCCTTTTAAAAATACATAATTTTTTGGAATATTGTAACAAATTACTTCATATTTAAATCTTGAATTAATTACCAAAAGAAAATAATTAGCCTGACAATCTTCTCAAAATATTTAGTAAAAACTTCTTTCGGAATGCACATTAAAAAACTTTTGAAATGGGGAAATAAAAACAAAATTAAGGAAATGTGATTTGTAAATTAAAAAGGCCATGGATTCGAGGAAGAGAAGAGAACCGCGTCAAGCGGGATCTCAAATCAATCGTGGTCTTAACACGTCTGCCATTGTTTCTCTATCAACGATCGATTATCGATAATTAACATAAAAACACAGAAACAAGAGAATAAACATTAAAAACAAAATCGAAAAAAAAAGAAATCAGACAGTATGTTGTATTCCAGATCTAGAAGAGTGTTTGTACTTCTGTGTATTCTTTCTTCAATTCTTCTTGTTGCCACTGCAACATCAATTGCAGGTAAGAAACACAGACAATACTTAATGGTTTCTTGAATTTTTTTATGATTTTTTTTTTCTATTTGGCTTGGATTGTTGCAGAAGAAGGAGGTGTCGAAGAATGGAGGACAAGTGTAAACGAAAGGTTTATGGCAGAGGAAAATGGAGAAAACTCGTCTCTCATTTTGTCTGCAAAGAGAACAAAAAGAAAAGATCCAACTGAGAATTTCAAGCTTTATACTGGTGGATGGAACATAAGCAATTCGCATTATTGGAGTGTGAGTCTTTATTTCTGTGGTCCAATGTCCTAAATTTTCTCTGTTGGGTGCTATTTCTCTCCTTTCCCAAGTTGGGTTTGACTTGTGTTCTTAGATTCCTAAATCTTTCGTTAAACTTTTGATCTTTACCCGGAAAATTCTGGCTATGTGGACTTTGATTGTTTTAATATGTAATTATCCTTCGTTAATGGAAAATTTGGATTAGTATTTGTGCTACTACGAATTAATCAGTGGCGAAATTGGATAACATTCATGACTAGCTTTTTTTATTAAATCAATTTCTGCTTATATGGATGAAAGATGTTTGAAACCAATCGATATTTTTTTCATCTTTGTCATTGTTCTTAGATTCCTAAATTTTGATTAAACTTCTGTCTTTACCATCAAAACTCTGGCTGAGTGCTGTAAGGCTGAATGGATTGTAATTCTGCTTACTATAAATTAATCAATTGAAAAACTAGATTAGCATTCATAACTAGCCTTCTTGATTGAACTTACATAGATGAAATATGTTAGAAGGGAATCGAGATTTTTCATCTTAATGGTGACTCCGGACCATTTTGGAGGATATTTATGGCATAAGCAATTGACTAAAAAATCCTTTTACATCCTTTGCTTGTGGTGCAGTCTGTTGCTTATACAGCAATGCCATTCGTTGTTATAGCAGCAGTTTGGTTTGTGTTCTTCGGGCTATCCTTGTCTATCATTTGCTTTTGCTTTTGCTGCTGCGCCCGTCAACCTTACGGCTATTCGCGGGTTGCTTATGCTCTCTCCCTTATCCTCCTCATATCGTTCACAATTGCAGCAGTGTAAATGCCCCTCTCTCTCTCTCTTACTGGCTCTTCTATTGTCATCCTTTTTTCTTAATAAAAGGTGCTGTATCTTGTGGTTGGTATTTCAGTGTGGGGTGTGTTTTCCTGTACACGGGTCAAGGGAAATTTCATACTAGCACATCAGATACGTTGGACTATGTGGTGAGGCAGGCAAATTTCACGTCAGAAAACCTCAGGAATGTGTCAGATTATCTCAACGCAGCTAAGAAGATAGATGTGCAGTCCATAGTTCTTCCGGGGGATGTTTTATCAAGCATCGACAACATACAAGGGAAGATCAACTCCTCCGCCACTACACTTTCTGTCAAAACAATGGAGAACCAAGAGAAGATTCAAAATGTCTTGGACAACATGTAAAAGTCTGGTACCATATTGTTATTTTTTTCACCTGCTTTCATCTGTTTTACTTAAAATTTCTCTCTTATTTGTTGCAGGAGACTTGCACTCATCATCATTGCAGCCGTGATGCTTTTCCTTGCATTTATCGGATTCTGTAAGTCTTCTGGTTATATGCTTGAGCAAAGTCTTAGGGATTGTTAGCTGATTACATGACTCGCAGCACTTAACTTGCCAATTATTCTCATTGTGATTTCATACAGTACTCTCTGTCTTTGGTCTCCGGTGCCTTGTATATACGTAAGTGAAGTCTCATTCTCATTTTCCGTTTTACCGTTAGTTTCATTTTATGCATTTAATCTCTTGTGATTAACAACGGGTAGGTTGGTGATCCTTGGTTGGATTCTTGTCACCGGTACTTTCGTCTTGTGTGGTGTATTTCTGCTTCTACACAAGTGAGTTCTGTTCCCTCTCTACCATTTGTCTACTCAATGCATTAAAAGGTTTAATAACATTTGTTTTACTTTGTCAGCGTTGTCGGGGATACGTGTGTTGCCATGGACCAATGGGTCCAACACCCAACAGCTCACACGGCTCTAGACGATATTCTACCATGCGTTGATAACGCAACCGCGAGGGAACTATTGACTCGGACGAAGCTTGTGTCATACCAGTTGGTTAACCTTGTTGACAATGCGATCAACAACATGGCCAACAGGAACATCCCGCCTCAATTACAGCCCCTTTATTACAACCAGTCGGGTCCCCTAATGCCTGTGCTCTGTAACCCCTTCAATGCTGATCTCTCGGACCACCAGTGCCAGCCTGGTGAGGTCCATCTGAGCAATGCAACAGAGGTAAACCTAGGATTTCCTCTCTTACCAAATACATGTTTTGTTTCCGAGAATTTTAGAATCACAAATAGAAACTGAAATCAAATGAATCAGACAAAACCCAAACTGTAAGAAATGTTTCCTTCGGCAAGGACGATAAGCAACGCTCTCGGTTTAAAACCAATAAACCCTATAAAACCCGTCAAAGCGCTCTCTAAGTTTGGATGAGCCTGACACTGATACAATTTCCTGAACTAAGAAAAAGGAAATACTAGTTGATTAAAAAACATGTCTTTAACACTTGTAGAAAAATTGCCATAATCTCTCTTATGATTCGTTTTGATGCAGGTGTGGAAGAACTACACTTGCCAAATTGTAACACCGGGAACTTGCAGCACACAGGGACGTCTGACACCAAAGCTTTACACCCAGATGGCTGCAGCAGTTAATGTAAGCTATGGTCTGTACAAGTACGGTCCATTCTTGGCAGACCTGCGAAGTTGTGACTTCGTGAGGTCTACATTCACTGATATAGAAAGGGATCATTGCCCGGGACTGAAGAGATACACGCGGTGGATCTATGTGGGTCTTGTGTTGGTGTCTACTGCTGTAATGCTGTCTTTGGTGTTTTGGGTTATTTACGCGCGGGAGAGGAGGCACCGGGTTTACACGAAAGACTACAATGCTATGCACTCTGAAGCTCCAAGGGACAAGGGCCCGTGAGATGTTATGTTCTTTTGCCGTGTTTATAGTGTACATTATGTGTGTGAGAAGTTGGTGATCTTCTGTGTAGTGGTTGACGCGAAAGAATCTTTGACTGTGATTGTTGTCATTAATGTTTTTTTATATCTGATTATGTTGGGATCTACTTCGAAATGAGCTTTTGTGGAACAAGAATGCTATTTTTTATTTCTTGGGTTTAATGCATAAAAAAAACTACGCTTTTATTAATTTATTAATTTTTTTGCAAAAATGACATTCACCTTTTAAAAATGCAAATCAATCTTCTTATCCCAAAACTCACCTGCAATACATCTTATGCGTATTGTATTATCATGTAATTTACAACAAAAATGGCACAGCTTATAATACTGCATAAGATTCAAACAGATTTTAGAAAAAACTTATGAAATTAGAATGTATAAATTTGGGGGTTTACAAGAACCCCGTTTTGATTTGATTATCTGATTTTCACCATCTCTGATTTTTGAGGTAAGGAAATTGACTTGCGTTTTTTAAAGGTGAGGGTCGATCTAGCCCAATAAATTAGATATAATTTTTAAAAAAAATCTAATTACTTTTTCGTTTTTTTTTGAAAAATGAATAAAATTTTGGATATACAAAGAAAATCGATTCTTTACATTTTTATGCTTTGAATATTTACAAAAAAAAATTCTATTTTACAGAGATATTTTTAAATTTAAAAATGGATATGTGTTGTGAAAACTTAGAAACTTTATTAATCACTGGAATGTATATATAGAGTACATAGGGAATTTATGTTAAGTACAATGCCCTGATGGGTCTAATGGGCCGGTATAAGAGTCCATATATGATATGTGTTATAACACTCCCCCTTGGACGAGTGAACCGGGTCAGCTACTCAATCGGGATCTCGATAATGCGCTGGGGAATGTTGCCTCATTAAAACCTTACCAGGAAAAACCCAGTGGGACAAAACCATGGTGAAGGAAAAAGAGTACAACACGCATTACTCCCCCTGATTGTAGCATCACTGCAGATCTCTAAGTCTATACATTCCTATCTGTTTGACGAGCTTCCGGTGTGTTGAAGTAGGCAATGATTTGGTGAAGATGTCAGCTGAATTCTCACTGGATCGGACCTGCTGAACGCTGAGAGTGCCGTCCTTCTGCCAGTCTGAGGTTGAGAAGAACTTCGGTAGAATGTGCTTCGTCCGATCTCCTTTGATATATCCTTCCTTGAGCTGAGCTATGCATGCCGCGTTGTCTTCATACATCACCGTGGGCTGTGTGTCTTCGTCCATACCACAATCTCTGCGGATGTGCTGAGTCATGGAGCGCAGCCAGACGCATTCCCTACTAGCCTCATGAATGGCTAGGATTTCAGCATGGTTTGATGAAGTGGCAGTGAGTGTCTGCTTCATTGATCTCCAAGAGATGGCTGTTCCTCCATGCGTAAAAACGTAGCCAGTTTGAGACTTGGCAGTGTGCGGATCTGATAGATATCCTGCATCGGCGAAGCCGACTAACCCATCTTTATTTTGGTTAGTATAGAAGAGTCCTAAGTCTTGAGTACCTCGAAGGTATCTTAGGAGATGTTTTATACCGTTCCAGTGCCTCTGAGTTGGAGATGAACTATATCGAGCGAGGAGGTTCACGGCGAAACATATGTCTGGTCTAGTGTGACTAGCCAGGTACATTAACGCTCCTACAGCACTGAGGTATGGCTTTTCAGGACCAAGGATTTCTTCATCATCCTTTTTGGGACCAAGAGGGTCATCACTTAAGCTTCTAACTACCATTGGGCTGGTCAATGGGTGAGCTTGGTCCATATTAAATCGCTTGAGTACCTTTTCGATATAAGCCGATTGATGCACAAGGATTCCTCCTTTGATGTACTCAAGTTGTAATCCCAAACAGTACTTTGTTTTGCCTAGGTCTTTCATTTCGAATTCTACTTTTAAGCAGTCGACTGTTTGGGAGATCTCACCAGATGTTCCGAGGATGTTTAGATCATCCACGTATACTGCTATGATTACAAATCCTTTGTTTGAGTACTTCTTGATGAAGATGCATGGATTGATGGGGTCATTTTTGTAGCCTTCTTTGATGAGGTAATCGCTGAGGCGGTTGTACCACATACGCCCACTTTGTTTCAGTCCATACAAGGATTTGTTCAGCCTGATGCAGTATTGATCTCGAGATGCATTTTTGTCTTTTAGTTCAATGCCATCTGGGAGTCTCATATATATTTCGTTGTCCAGGGGCCCATAGAGATATGCGGTTACAACATCCATTAACCGCAGATCAAGATTTTCTCTTATGGCCAGACTTATGAGGAATCGGAATGTTGTTGCATCCACCACTGGAGAATAAGTCTCCTCATAATCGATTCCGGGTCTCTGTGAGAATCCTTGTGCTACAAGCCGTGCTTTGTATCGAACGACTTCACCGAGTTCGTTCCTTTTGCGCACAAAGACCCATTTGTGGCCCACTGGCTTGATGTGTGATGGGGTCCGGATGATCGGACCGAACATGTTTCTGAGTTTGAGACTCTTTAACTCCACGTTTATGGCTTCTTTCCATTTTAGCCAATCTGTTCGATGTGTACACTGTGTTATTGACGTGGGTTCTAGATCCTCTTGCGTGAGCGCAACATCAAGTGCTACTTTGTATGCAAAGAGTGCATTTAAGTCAACTTCTTTTCGATTCCATTGTATTCCGGACATATTGTAATTGATGGAGATCTCATTGTTATCTTCTGAACCTGGAGATTCGGCGTCCCGAACTTCCATTGAGGGTTCATTAGATTGAGTCTCAGCCGCGGCTATGTCTGATATTGCAGGAATCCCGGTTTCGGTTATTGCACCTTTCTTTGATTTCCGGGGATTCTTATCTTTGGAACCGAGAGGTCTGCCCCGTTTGAGACGTGGTGCAGACTCTGTAGCAACTTGGGTCTGTCCCGTTGGGACAGCTATTCGTACTGGTGCATTACAAGCTGGGATGTACGATTTGGTTACTTTGGTCGGGTCAGCAAAGGAATCTGGCAATTGATTAGCTAGCTTTTGATAATGAATAATCTTTTGGATCTCTGAATCACATTCTAGAGTCCGAGGATCTTGCCAATTTAATGATGTTTGATTCCATGAAAGATCTTTGACCAGCTTGTTTGTCTCACCACCTAAAGAGGGATATACCGATTCATCGAATTGACAATCCGCATATCTGGCCTTGAAGAGATCTCCAGTGGTTGGCTCGAGATATCTTATGATGGTGGGAGAGTCAAAACCAACATATATTCCCATCCTTCTTTGAGGTCCCATTTTGGTTCGATGTGGTGGAGCAATGGGTACATATACTGAACACCCAAATGTTTTGAGATGGGAGATGTCTGGCTCATGACCCGAGAGTAGTTGGGATGGGGAATATTTGTGTTCACTAGATGGCCGGATGCGTATGAGTTCAGCAGCATGTAATACTGCATGTCCCCATGCTGAGGCCGGGAGCTTTGATCTCATGAGTAATGGTCGGGCTATCCATTGAATGCGTTTAATGAATGATTCAGCCAATCCATTTTGAGTATGGACATGTGCTACAGGATGTTCCACGGTTACCCCCATGGCCATACAGTAGTCATTAAATGCTTGTGAGGTAAATTCACCAGCATTGTCAAGGCGGATAGTCTTTAGTGGGAAGTCAGGGAAATGGGCCCGCAATTTTATGATTTGGGCCAAGAACCTAGCGAAGGCTTGGTTCCGAGAGGACAAGAGACAAACATATGACCAACGGATCGATGCGTCTATAAGGACCATGAAGTACCGGAATAGTCCGGAAGATGGATGTATAGGTCCACAGATATCGCCCTGGATTCTTTCTAGGAAATGAAGTGTTTGTTTAGAGATTTTAACTGGTGAAGGCCGAGTGATCAATTTGCCTTGAGAACAAGCTGTGCACATGAGGTGTTGAGGATAAGCTCGGTTTTCTTTGAGGGTATGCCCTTGAGAGTTTTGAATTAGTTTACGCATCATATTTGCACCGGGATGACCGAGCCGGTCGTGCCAAATAGTATAATCAGTAAACCGGGCTTTGAGAGTGGTATTAGCTTCAATCATACTGACTTTAGCATGGTAAAGTCCAGTAGAGAGCGCGGGTATGGTTTCGAGGATTTGTTTATGGCCGTCTACGGTTTTAGTGACTAGGAGGGATTCTTTGTTCCCTTGACCTTGGGTTTCTATGTGGAAACCATTCTATCTTATATCCTTGAAGCTCAGAAGATTTCTCTTCGAACTAGGAGAATATAGAGCATCTGGTATTTCAAGTTGTGTGCCATTTGATAGCAACACATAGGCATGGCCATATCCTTCGATAAGGTTTGAGGGACCCGCGATGGTGCTAATATTTGCGGTTTGATAGGTTAGGTTTATGAAGTAACTTTTGTTTCTTAAGATAGTGTGGCTGGATCCACTATCTACGACTATGGTTTCCATTTGCTAGTGTGCTTCATTATGAATAGAAGATAGAATTCAGTATTGAGGAATTCAGAAAATGTGATAAATCATAAAGTAAAGCAGTGTCTGAGAATAAAGGCAAATGAAAAAAAAAATGAAACAAATCCCAAAATGAAAAAAAAATAAAGAACAAAATCAAATTGTATCAGAGTTTCAGATGATTGAATTAATCGAGGAGATCAGCTGTTTCATAGTCCATGGGGTCGGTCTGCTCGTTTGTGGTGTTCTCATCATCAAGGAGGTCGTCACCTTCCAGGTTAGCAGCATCGACTGGCTGAGTCATGTTGGCTTCAGCAGGAGCTTTTCCGTACTTCTGGTATAGATCGCAGTGGATCTTGGGGGTGCGACATTGCTTTGTTGGGTGGTTGAACATCCCACATCTGGTACAAGCAGAGTGATCGGGGTTGGTGTGGCGGGTCGGCTTGGTGATGCCTCGACCACGACCAGGACCATAACTGAGGTTAGGTCGGTTGCCACGACCATGTCCGCGTCCACGTCTTCCACGTCCATGTCCTCGGCCATTACCACGTCCATTACCACGTCCACGGCGGTGATCTGAGGATCTATCGGGTTGAACATGGTAGGACTCTTGACGAGAAGCTGGGACAGGAGCCGATCCCGGGGGCCTCATAGCGCTGTTCCTCATAAGCAGCTGGTTATTCTTCTCAGCGAGGAGAAGACAGGACAACAAGTCTTCGTACAATGTGTGTTTCATTG